TATTTACATGAATATATGTATATGCACACACACACACACACACACACACACACACATCCTGGAACTTGCTGAGTAGACCAGGCCTTGCACTTGTGGCAATCCTCCTGCCTCTCTACCTCTATGTGCTGGGATTACAGGTGTATAGCCAGCATGTTTCATTTGCCTTATCTTTTGAACCGTGGAGTTCTTTGATCTTTATTGAGAATTACCTTCCAAGCTCTTCCAATGTAATGAACATGCTGGGCCTTTCTCTCTGTGATGACATCTTCTGCTCTGAAGTCAGACTGGATTTCTCCTGCAGTCCACAGCAGTCACTTCCTCAGAGCTTTCAAACACACTTCTTCCATGTTGAGTGTCTTGTCTCCTGGAGCTTGTATTTTCTTCCTTGGTTGGTTTTAAACTGGGTGTGGTGCACACAACTGTAATCCCAGCCCTTAGGAAGTGGAGGCAGGAAGAGCAGGAGTTCAAGGGTTTGAGGACATCCTCATCTGAACAGTGAGTTCAAGGACAGCCTGGGCTACCTGAGAACAAAACCAAATGGAAACAAAACACACCCTTTGTTTTGTTGGAACACATCCCATAGGAGCTTTGTGAGAAATGTAAGTAAATATTTAGAGGCTTTGCTAGTGTTTGTTCTACTCTTGCCTTCATGCAGACAAGTGCAATTTGTCTTCACTAAGATACCTCCCTCAATGGCTCTCAGCACTTCGGAGGCAGAGGCAAGCAGATATCTGTGAGTTGAGGCCAGCCTGGTCTACAGAGCAAGTTCCAGGACAGGCTCCAAGGCAATAGAGAGAAACCCTGTCTCAAAAAACAAAAAAACATAACAAACAAAAAGGACATCCTTCAAACTCCAATTGATAGCTGTTGTCACTTATGTGAGGGATGAATCTGTCCCTGTGGGTGATTCTGCAGCCACCTCAGTGTGGCTCTAAGGGTATTGATCAGCTTCCTGAGTGAATCCTCCACATCACTATTGGGTACAATAAGTTTTACCCCTAAACATCATGGGAGCCAGGAGACCACTATGGGCCCTAAATTCCCAAGTGCACACTTTTCATCTGCTTCCAAAATGTGTGACAGTCCAGCTCTCAGCTGTGTCCACCTTTCTTGGACACAATGCCTCTACAATTCAAAATTTTCTTCCCAAAGCTGGGCAATGACAATGGCAGAGATGCACACAGGAATGAGAAGAAACATACTTTTTTTTGTTGTTGTTTTTTGTTTTTCCAGACAAGGTTTCTCTGTGTAGCCCTGAGTGTCTTGGAACTCACTCTGTAGACCACGCTGGCCTTGGAACTCAGAGATGCACTTACCTCTGCCTCCCGAGTGAAGTGCTGGGATTAAAGGTGTTTGCCACCACTGCCCTGTGAAACAAACGTTTAATAGCTTGTTTTCAGACACCTGCAGCCATGTGAGATGGAGAGAGCACTTTCTTATTCTTCCAAGGTTCAATGTTGTAGTTGGTTTGCTACAGATCTCCTTCCTGTGAATTTCAGCTTTATGTTTTCTGTTAAGTTGATCCACCCACCTGTTGAGGTGGCGAGGGTGGAACCTGAGGCCTTGTACATGTTAGGCCAAGTGCTCTACAATTGAGCTGTGCTCCTAGCTCAATTTATAGTTCTTATTCACCTGCATTTCCTTTTTCTTTTTTCTTTTTTTCTTCGAGACAGGGTTTCTCTGTGGTTTTGGAGGCTGTCCTGGGACTAGCTCTTGTAGACCAGGCTGGTCTCGAACTCACAGAGATCCTGCCTGCCTCTACCTCCCGAGTGCTGGGACTAAAGGCGTGTGCCACCACCGCCCGGCTCACCTGCATTTTCATCCTCTGGAATATTGCTAGCAATTGCCTCTGCTGCTGCCATCTCTGGTCTGTTTCTCTTCATGGATGATTTATAAAGAAAAGATGTTTAAGTTGGATGTGATGGTGCATGCCCAGCTCCAGGGGCAGCTGAGACAAGAGGCACATAAGTACAAGGCTATCCTGGTCTACACGTGGGAGACCCTGTGTGAAAAAAGCAAAGAAACTCCCATACCCAAATCCCCAAACAACAACCAACCAGCCAAACAAACAAAAGAAGACATACGTTGGGAAGTTACAGGACATCTTGTTGATCTTTATTGACTTTTGGTGAGACCTTTTGCTATTCCATCCAGGATGGGCAATTCAGCTCCCTGTGAGGGCGAGGGTGGGGTGAGGTGGCAAAGCTTTGGCAGTAGCTGTACCAGTTATTTTGGGACAACTCAACACAAACTTGGGAAGAGAGAGTCTCAACTGAGGAATTGCGCCTATCAGATTGGTCATTGGCACATCTGTGAGGCATTTTCTTGATGGCAAATGATAATAGGAAGGCCCAGCCCACCATGGGCAGTACCATCCCTAGGCAGGTGGGCCTGGGCTATAGAAGAAAGGTGGGTGAGTGATTGTTGCTGGGTTCCAGTTCTGACTTTCCTCGAGTTTGGATGCTGATCTTGGAGTTGTAAGCTTGAAGCCAACCCTTTCATCCCCAAGTTGCTTTTGGTTTTGTTTCTGTTTTTTCCCCTTCCACAGCAACAGGAAACCAAGCTAGAACAATAGCTAATCCAGTTTAATTCTTGAGGTCTACACCTCTGACCTCAACATTGCTAACCAGGCTCTGTCCCCCAATGCTGCTGCCACACTGAGGCATTAGACCTCAAAGGGAGTGTGTGTTAGGACAAACAGTAACAGCATAGATCAGACTCAACACTTGTGTTGTTATAGTGAAAAATGATAATTCTAGAAAAAAAAAGTGGGAACAATTCATGCGAGGAGGCAGTGGCTGAGCTCTTAGACTGTGTACATGCAGAACGCTTGGCCAACACTGAACATGTTACTTAAACCAGGCGTTGTGGAACGGTGGCTACAGCAAGGCTGGAGGCAGAGAGAGCTGGGCTGGAAGCCAAACCCCACTTCACTCCTGAAGCATGAGCCCAGGCAAGAGGTTGAATTTCCTACAGTTCCTAGTTTAAAGAGCTGGAGAACCCAGTGGATAACCTTCTACTTGTGTGGTTGCTGGGTGCGGGGACCAGGTGATGGTAATGAAAATTGATGCTATCCTTTCTTTCTTCATTGCTTCAAGATTCCCGGTACCATAAGACATCCAGCTTAAGAAGAAATGTTTACAAATCTTATTCCGGTCAGTGGAAATGAGAGCAACCCATGGCCTTGTGGTTCTGTCTGTGCTTGGCTGATGGAAGCAGGAGCCAGACATGCCTTTCAGCCTGAAGACTGTGGCCTTCGAGCTCTGCTGAGTCATTATCTGGATGTCTTAACTGAGAGTGACAAGGCACACAACTGCAAACTTGGCTTTGTACTGTAGGAAGAATAAACAGCCGTGAAAACGACTTTTTCTTTTTTAAATAAAAAATCCTCTCCCCTCTCCCACAGTGTGTGTGTGTGTGTGTGTGTGTGTGTGAGAGAGAGAGAGAGAAGAGAGAGAGAGAGGAAAGGAGAGAGAAAGAGACAGAGACAGAGAGAGAGGGAGAGAGAGACAGAGACAGAGAGAGAGAGCGTGTGGCTAGACTGGTCTTAAATTTGTAATCCTCTTGCCTCAGCCTCCCAAGTGCTGGGTTTATAGAGGTGTGCCACCAAGCCCAGTAAATTGTGTTATTTTAAAAAGTCAGCTATTGGGGGGCTGGAGAGATGGCTCAGAGGTTGGGGACACTGGCTGTTCTTCCAGAGGTCCTGAGTTCAATTCCCACAACCACATAGTGGTTCACAACCATCCATAATGAGATCTAGTGCCCTCTTCTGGTGTGCAGGTGAAACACTGTATACATAATAAATCTTTTTTTTTTTTTTTTTTTTTTTTTTTTTAATTCAGCTATGGAGCTGGAGCAATATCTTGGTGGTTAAGAGGACCTGGGTTCAGTTCCCACACCCACATGGCAGCTCACAACTGCCTCTAACTCTAGTTCAAGGGGATCCAATCCCCTCTCCTGGCCTTCACAGGCACATTTGTACATGCATGCAGGCACTTACTGAAAGGTTCAGGCATTATGCTGGACCAGTACCCTGGTCAGCCCAAGGTTCCATGGGAACTAAGTCTGCACGCAGATACAGAGGACCCCTTTAAAAGACAGACCCCTGTCCATTTATGCTCTCTGTTTCCTCTCTCTGTTTCCCGCTCTGTTTCTTCTCAGCTTCCTTTCTCTCTACTCTGTCTTCCACCTATGCGCTCGCTCTGTCTCTCTATGGCAACCGGCCATGGCGGTCAGCCATTTACCCCTATTCCTCTTCTTAGTCTCCCCATTCTGCCGGGCCTTATAATAAACTTATAGTCAATATGTCTCATGTCTCAGCATTTCTCGTTTCTTCTTTTTAAACAAAAGAATAACACTTACACATATAAATTAAAATAATTTTAAAAATCAGTTATCCAGTGTATTCTTTTGGGGGGAGGTTTCTGAGACTGTAGACCAGGCTGGTCTCGAACTCACAGACATCTGCCTGCCTCTGCCTCCCGAGTGCTGGGACTAAAGGCGTGCACCACCACCGCCTGGCTTCCAGTGTATTTTTCTTTTCTTTTCTTTTCTTTTCTTTTTGTTTTGTCCCTTCCTTCCTTCCTTCCTTCCTTCCTTCCTTCCTTCCTTCCTTTCTTTCTTTCTTTCTTTCTTTCTTTCTTTCTTTCTTTCTTGTTTGTTTTTTGAGACAAGGTTTCTCTGTGGCTTTGGAGGCCGTCCTGGGACTAGCTCTTGTAGACCAGGCTGGTCTCGAACTCACAGAGATCCCCCTGCCTCTGCCTCCCGAGTGCTGGGACTAAAGGTGTGCACCACCACGGCCCGGCTCCAGTGTATTTTTAAAGTCACAACTAATCTCAACAGAGAGAGCAAGCTGCACCGAAGTGTGCTTTCTATGGTGTCAACCAAATTTGCTAACTACGCATAATGTGGAGAGAGGATGGTTGACTTCCTGTCCTGAGCCTAGACTCTGCTGCTTGATGGAGAGTGACCGGAAGTCGTCGATCTGTGCCCCCTTGGCCTCCTTCTCATGTCTGCCCATCCAGGGAAAAGTCCAGTGCTGTTTGTCTTTTCTCAGACATTCCTTGTCACATCGAGATGCCTTTTTCCTTTGCAAAGAATCTTCCTGTGGCCGTAGTAGCTCATTCCAGACTTGACTACAGCCTCCTTATGCAGGTGGATGCTTTTCATAGGAGCCGTCTTCGGCTGGGACTACTCGGGGATCTAGGGGGTTAATCTCTACTGTGTCTGTGTGCTCTTTCACCCTCCCCCACCTCCACTCCATCTCTGCCCTCCTCTACCCTGGAAGGATGGAGGCAGAGGAGATTCCAGCAGGTTCATTTAAGCTCTTAAGAGATCTGGGTTCGCCCGAGACCTCCAAAGTGGACGGCTGTTGATCACAGCTTCAAGATCCCAGGATGGACGTTCTGCAGCCTCCCTAGTTAATCAGATCAGGCACTGAATTGTCATTGGCAAAACTTACTTTTCTTCTTATTATACTAACAATAGCAGAATTTTTAGAAAACATTACATACAGCCAAGAATTGAACCCGGGGCCTTGCATGTGCTAGGCAGTACTCCACTTTTTAGCTAGTTTCCCCAGACAAATAGTGAAAGCGAAATTTTTAGAAATCATGTTTATATTATTATTTTATGTCGATGGGTGTTTTGCCTGCGTGTCTATGCACTAAGTGCATGCAGTGCCCTCAGAGGCCAGGAGGGGGCGTCCAATCACCCTGGAACTGGAGCTACAGATGGTTGAGAGATATCATGTGGGTGCTGGGAATTGAACCTGGGTCCTCTGCAAGACCAGCCCGTGCTCTAACCACCCAGCCATCTCTCCCACTCTCGAACTAAGCATTTTGATGCATAAGGGTCCTGGATCTGAAATCTACACACCCAGTATCCAAACAAAAAAATCCTTTACATTTGTGGTGCTGGGTACTAGAGCCTGGGGGTACTTGGGGCTAGCACTCCACTACTGGATTCCATCCTTAGACCTAAAAAAAGTTCCCGGTTTTGCTTTCTGAGACTGCATTTGCAAGAGTCTGAATTTGGAAGCTGAACCACCCTGAATTTGGAAGCTCCTAGTAAAAATTGCATCCCCGCTCTGATGCTCTCATGAGCTACCAGCCTCTAGAGGCTCCACACAGTCTCATCTACCTCCCTTAGCTCCCCATCAAGGCTGCCTGACGCCCTGCAGTTCATGGAGCCTCTACCAGGCAATGAGGTGTCTGTCTTTCTGTCAGGGACTTGCAATGCCTGTGAGAGACTGAGACCAAAGGTTGGCACTTCTGCCCTGGGGGCAAGTCTTGTCTGTTGCCTGTTTCTATTTAGTCCACAAGCTAAAAATGGATTTACCTTTATTAAGTGGTTGGGAAAAAAAGGGGGAAAGAAGAATGCTAGTTAATGGGATGTAAAAAAAAAAATGTGATAAGTGTCCATAAATTAAGTCCACTGGAACCCAGCCCTACTGCTCATTTATTTCGGTCTCATTTGATACTATCCGTGGCTGCCTTCCTGCTCCAATGGCAGTTGTGGGTGGCTGTGGCGGACGCTGCTTGGCTGGAGAATCCTAAAAAAAAATTCCCACAAGGCCCTTCCCAGAATGAGTTTGCCAAGCCCCATCTCAGAGCTTCAGTCTCTCTGGGTTCTGCCTCCTTGATTTCCCCATGGTGCTGGTGCTGGTGCTGGTGGCTGTCCTCAGCCCCAACACCATGAGATAGGCTCACCTCAGCGTGCTTGTTAGGGGGGATAGGGTCAGGCTGCTTCAACTCAGGCCATGGATGGAGGACAAGAAAAATGCAGTCTGGAAAGGAGGGAGGTGTTAATTTGAGGGGTGTGTGTAGCCAGACCTCCTCCCAAGGTGCGGAGTCATTTAAATCTCCTTGCTTTGCTGTTCACAACTGCTTGTCTCTTTAGTTGGCTAGTGACCAAGCCAGGATTGTTGGTGTGTGTGTGTGTGTGTATAAATAAAAAGGTGACCATCAGAGGGGAGGGAGAGCCCTCAAGGAAGGGAGGATGGAAAGAAAGTGCATGCAATCCCTGTGAAACAGGAAACTATCTGAGGGGACCAGAAAGAGGCAAACAAGCAGAATGGGATAGGGTATCAAGGCAGGGAGCAGGATGAATAAGAACGCACACACACACACACACACACACACACACACACACACACATATATATATATTGACAAGTGTGTGAAAATGCCACAGTGAAACTCATTGAATTGACTTTTAAAATAATTTGTTGCAGGTTTTTTTTTTTTTTTTTTGGTCAAAACCTGGGCCCTGGCAACACTATCTTGGAAAAGGCTTCTTTCTTCTTTGGTGTGGTCTTCATCATGAAGCTTTTCATTTCATAATGGTCACAGGATGGTGGCTCTGTCTCCCACCCAACTCTTCAGTCCAGTCAGGAAGAGGAGGGGGAGACTAAATAATGGATGAGAAAAAACTCTCTGAAACAGGAAAGCAAAAGTGTTCCTAGCGATCACGGCAGATGGAACACACTGGCCGGCATCAAGACACATGTCCTTTAGCTACAAGGGTCATGTGTGAACAGGCGCTTTGCCACTGAATGAAATCAGGAATCTGATAGACAGAAGGCAAACATGGATCAGCACTATCTTTCATGAGACCTCTGGCCTTGCCAGACTTGAGAGAGCACACACTCTCTGACTCTGGCAAAGATGAGGCATGCAACAGCCTTCTCGGGGATCATGACAGCTGGGGATACCCTAAGGCTCCCCTCTTCTTTATGGTCAGAAAATGTAACTGATTATCCCACACAGCAGCATATAACCGAGACGAAGTAAATGTCTTGGCTGTGCAATCTGTGGGCCAGTGTGCACTGTGGAGGATAGCGGGGCCTTTTATGACAGGAAGCCAAGGATGGATGGCAACTCATAACTGGGACATCAGAGAAGTAATCTGTGTGATATGTCACTATAATGGAGTGAGGCCATTTGCACGGCTCCCTCTTCTGCAGGACTCCAAGGAGTAAGTTGTCCCAGCCACTTGTGGCCGTCAGGTTTTATAGTGATTTCTATGTACTACTCAGCTTAGGACACATCTCACCTCTTCAGATTGTTGCTGTCCCCATACTTAATACTCCCAACAGTTCAGAGAGCCAAGAAACTACCAAGGGGGGAGAGGCTGGTGGGAAGCAGCACCCTGCCCCTGCTGCAGTGCAAGCCCTGCTTGCCTAGAGGAGTTTAGATTTAAATAAAAAAGAACAAACAATGATGAATGATGGAGTTCAGGAGTGACAGCCACCTGACAAGTAAAACAAGGCATATATATATGTATATATATGTATATGTATATGTATATGTATATATATACATTTTTCCCAGTCATAGCAAAATACATATATACATATTTATA